TTTAGTCGTAACGTACCATTATTTTCAAATACACCGAAGACAACCGGTCCCAACCAACGTTGTCGTACAAAGGTAGCACTATTTCTTCTGTCCAATGATAGCGGATGCTGCTTCAAACTCGAATCCACGCACCCTTCGACATTAATGAATTTCTTTTTATATTCAACCGCATGTCGAAAGGGGATTAATAGATAAAAACTATCCCCATAAATCTTTATCAGAGACCGGTTATGTCTCTCCCCCTTCCCGATCACCGTTTCCGTGCAAGAGGAGAGCTTCGTTCCACGAATATTCTCGTTCGTTTTTCCCGGCGCGCGGGCGAGCCCGGCCGCAGTCTATGCTCGTCGGTAATTAGATCACAACCGGCCGGTGTACTTTTAATGAAACAACAGCCGCGAATAACTCACGGCTACTTATCTCTATCCCGCGTCCACGTTTCGGATCCTTGCTCCCCGGCGTCTCGGGGCAGCGTATTAACAAAGTGGAACCGATCCCACGGATAAAGATCCGCGACGCGACCTGTCGTCGACCCGTTGCAACCTGAAAGAATACTGGAACAAAACCTAGAAGATGATGTCACCCGACGCGACAGTTTCGCGGTCATCGCGCGCCGCTCTATAAACGCGCTGCCGGACCCATACGTGCTGCTATAAAACAGGGATCAGTCGAATTTCATAACGCGTCAGATTCTCCTTATCCTCCGGCCAAGAAGATTCAATCTACCGCTGTACTCGTACTTCGTTTAACATCAAATCTTCAAACTACCGGTTCCGAATTCGATTCAAAATTCTACGTTTCCGTTCACTGATTCAATTTTACATCAATTCCTATCTGTATATTCTCCGATGAATCGGTTCCTCAATTTCCGTCCTCCCTTGGTTTCCGTTTCCGCTAAGAAAAATCCATCGTCTAACTCGTTTACCTTTATCCCGTGACAAGTTATTCGATTGGTTACGACGGGAATCGGCATGCACAAAGTGCCGATACATTTAAGTAGCGTCGCCGACTTCGATCCTGGCATTCCAACGCGAAAAGCTCCGGGAGAAGACGACTCCGTTTCCCTTGGAAGTTGCAAGCTCCCCGGATGATCGTCTCTCCGTATAATTACGGTGCTGCCACGCGTTTCGGTATCGGGCCGCGGTTTCGACCCGCGGCTTTGATCGTTCGAGCAGCGCCAGGACTCCGGAGTAACCGTGGCAAGTCGCGCGTGTCACCGACGCACGGCCGGTGGTTCCGAATGCAACGGAAGAGACGAGAGACCGTCGGAAGCGGCGGAAGAAGGAGCGGGAACAGCGAGGAGGATCCCGGACTCGCGGCTGGAAACTTAAATTAGGCGTCTCGGGGGCAACGTAACGCGCGACGCTAATTAGACGCCACGGATTTACCGCGACGGAGGCCACCGAGTGGTTGAACTACTTTCGGAGAGGCCGAAAAAATGGCCGAGTTCCGTTCGTTCGCGTTTCGAGTTACCCCGGGATCGTTTAACGTTCCCCCGGACCGCCTCGGGCCTCGATTAAATTGCTACCGAACTCGGTTAAATTGCCCGCGATTCCCGAGGAATAACGCTTTGCTTCGACTGGTTCAATCTTCCTTCTCTTTCCCTGGCCCTTTCTCTCTGCCTTTGTCTCTGTCTCTCTCTTTCTTTCTCTCCCTCTCTCTCGCTCTCTCTCTTTCTCTCGGTTTTTCGTTCATCCGTTTAATAACGGGAAAACCTGTAACGTCGGGGTACCAGCGATTTTCTGACTAACAGAATCTCGAATTGATTCCGGCGATGCGAACATCGGATCCGGTGAATAGCGTGCCAATTGTTGGAATGTTTTGGGATTAGCTGGAAAAAGTAACTACAATTGCCGCGCACTGGATCGGTTGTTTGTTATTTTGGCATTTCAATCGGATCTCTACATTTTTCGGATTTCATTTCCGATCGGCTGGACACGTTTGATAGCGATCGGCCACCGTGCACGTGTAACTGACTGTTTGAAAATACGCCGGCGGCTTTCCGGTGGAAGATTTTACACAGGCTAGTTGAATTATTCCGTTCTAATGAGCAGGATTGATAGATAGACTGCAATAATGTTCACGAAACACGAAAGGAACATGTGAAAATGGAAATTTCACTGATTGATTGAATTTCATTCCAATTTCTTATACAGCAGTAATATCATATAGTGATACTAAAAATGTCGAAAACTATTTCAAAACGGACCTGACGAATATGAAGTGAATCTTAATCCTTTGCAGGCGAAGATTAGAAATATACAAAATTTTCAGATGAAGCTAAATTATATATAGATTGCTTAAACAATAGAAGAAGTGGAACTACGATCGCTGTCTGAGTAATTAAATCATTTGTTTACGACGTAGTATTCGAAACGTGACAATTTGATCTCCCCGAAATGTCGACATTCGCTCGCAAAGGATTAATTACACGACCAATCTCGATTCGATGAGCGGACGTGTCCGAACCGTGTGTTTCGCGCGATCGTTTTTTTTTCCTTCGTTACATCGTGTCATTTTTCCCGCGCACGTCGACAGGAGAATCGTCGCGTCGTTCCGGGCAAACGAGACGTTATTCTCTTGTTTCGGTCGCTCCGAAAATTCCCGAATGCATCCGGGACGATAGAGCGATCATTTCCCCGATCCTCCGGCGCAGTTTCCCTCGGGCTCTGCTAGTGATCCCGTGGACCCCAATTTCGCAAGGAACGAGCCGAGCAGAGGCCCATAACGCTACGCGGAATTCCAGCCAGCCGCGCGCTGCATCGCAGCCGCTAATTTATCGCCGCGCTAATTCACCATTAGCCCGGCGCACAGCCGCGATAAATCAGGTTCAATTAATTCGCGGGAATATGATCCAGAAGAACGGGGGCCCTCCGTTTTCCCTCTCCAGCCCTCCCCCGACGGTTCACATCTCTACCGTCCGAAAAAAACGGCGCGGCCGGGTGGGCTGGAAAAAAGAGTCGAGCGGAATAACCGGAAGGAAAGCGAGCGAGAAGCGGAAAAGCTAAAAAGGAAGTGAAATTGAATTACTTTCCGCGCGCTCATTCAATTTAGCGGACTGTTCGATAAGGAACGGAGAGCACCGGGGTCACGATCGCCTGGATCTAAGATCGAGCGAAACCTCGATCGCGGTCCAATTAGATATTTCTCGGTGTTCCACGAACCGAGCTCGGTAACGCGATTTCGGACCTTCTTTTTCCTCCTTCTTTTTTCCCGTAACCGGGTTTACTGGTTGTACTCGCGTCACCGGAATGTTAGCGCCACGATAATAACGTCCACAAAATTCAATGGATGCGAAATTATTCTCGACACCGGAATAGAAACATTCCTTTAACGGCGAGTTTCTCGATCGCGAGTGCTTACTCCGAGTTGTACCAATAACTAACGGAGATCATTTGGCACGTTCTATTTCGCTGTGATTATTGGCGATCGTTTCTGTTATACTATTTACCTCGGTAGTACTACTTTTGTACATTTAATTTATTTGAGTTCTAGTTGTCTTTAGGGCAGTTATAGAGACGTTTTCGTTGCGACTCTACGCGAGTTTTACTACGATACATTGAATATGTTGTAATTAATAATTCGTTGAATTACTTTCACCGAAAATGCTTCGTTGTTTTCGTAACCGCGAAGGAATAGATCTTGCACGAGTTATTTCGATTATACACTATGCACGCGTGAGATTGCGATAACAACTAATGATCGATGGACGAATTCTCCGGGATTGTTTTCTGCGCGCGGATTGCTCAAGAAGCGATTGAGAAACGATTTAGCGCGTACGGTCAACAATTTTCGAGTCATCTTGATAGGGCACTCTCGCCGTTCGCGTATCGAAGCAACTTCATCGCGCCGTTTAATTGCGCAACATTTGCATTCCAGCGCCGATTGCCGCCGAAATCGCGCCGTAAATCATTGAGTTTATCGATCTCGTCGGCAAACATCCCCGACCCCGCGTTCTCGCTTGAAACGATCTCCGTCCCCGAATCTTGCTCGTCGACGCTGAATTATTGAGCGTAATTATTCCCTCGTTCTCGTCAACGATAAATATCATCCTCGGTATCCGAGGAACGATCGCTATTTTCTTGTTGCATCAAACAGTGTGAAACAATTTGTCAAGCACCAACAGATTCCATGCGGTTGACGCCTCTCGACTCAAGTTTTGCAAAGATTGAAAGACAGAATTACAAAACTAATTCCAACAGTTTCGACTATTCCGATTAACTTAATCCAAGAGGTGTCTCGACCGATCCTCCATTTTCCTTCTTCCCCAGAGTATCGCGCACATCTTCCTCCACCTTCTCGATTCCTTATTTCGTTACTTTCAATCGAGCCGTCCCCGAACGCGTCGACGGATCGACTTTGCGGCGCAACAAACGCAAAATAAATCGATGAACAAACAATTATAAATCCGTCGGGGCCGGGCCGGGAAGCGAGTGTTACCGTGCCTTCGCCGCTGGCAAAAAGTTGATAAATCCGCTCGGAGCGCGGCTCAATTCCTCGAACAAGCTCCATTTTTCATCGTTCCCCACGCCGCGGCAGAGAAAAGGTATATGTACCGCGGCCGGTATTTACGAGGACGTCAGATTGCAGCGCGAAATCGAATTACAATTTATATACGGCGGGCCGCTGCTCATTCCGGTCGGACCTTACACGCGAAATCGACCGAGCGTCACTAAAAGAAACGGAAATGGAAATGCGCGCCGCGCCGCGCCTCTTTCACGGTTTCCACGCTTTAATCAAACACGGTAATTCGATCCGTATCCCGAGACGAAAGACGGAGGCAATCGATTGATACGCGGAGTGGGAGGGTTCGTTTAAAGAAGGGTCCGGGGCGAGGAATGAAAAAGGAATGAAAAAGGAATGAATAAAACCGCTCAAAGACGTTCCTTCGTTTTTATCCTTTATTTACGATGTTGTCGCCGTTGTTTCTTTTTTCTTTACCGTTCTTCCCGTTACAATACCGTTGCAAATGAATGTCCCCGGGAGCACGGTCGCGACTATTCCCCGTTGAAATATTTATTGGTCGCTCGTAACGCGCTCGAATATTTTTTTTTCTCGCGATCCGGATCTCGCTGCTCGTTTCCGCGTGTCCGCGGGAGAAAATCCGCTCGCTGTAAAATAATGACGAATCCGTTACTGAAGTAGGATAAGTCGTGGAGAGGTGGCCCAGTTTTTTTTTAAAACGAATCGTACGTCGTGAATATATTTAGTAATATATTTTATGGAAGTAAATGTACATAAGAAGAATAGTCGATACTAAAACTACCACACGAGTCAAAATGATCCATTCCCGCTGTCTTCTTTTTGCAATTACTAAAGGAATGACAGATGTTTCTCTGAATTGTTAAAGAAATTAATTTAGCAATACGCAAACTGAACTGTGAATCAATTGAAGTCTCGATAGACGCGCTCTTAAAATTTTTACAGAGAAATTTCGAGAAGTCAATTTAACTGATCGGTAGTTTTAGTGTTGAATAGACCTCTGTGTAAGGTTCAATGTACAATTAACGATTGAAAATATAAATATTCGACAATGTAAGTGAAATTAATTTTGACAATCTCACTCGGAATTAGCCGATAATCTCGCGGGCACGGGATCGCAATGCTTAAACGCTTCTAAAGTTGCGCGCGCCGCCATTTTGAAGTTTTCGTAGAAGATCCGCGATCGATACCGGCGGCCGGGACTTAAAAGCCGGAGAATCGCGCTCGTTATTCGGGAAGCCGGGATTCGGGGTCGGGAAGTTTCGAAAAGCGTTCCGACAGTACGTGTTTCAAGCGGAGCGGCGGCTCTCGAGGATAAAACTGTCGAGTGGACACGTAACGAACGTCTGAAATTCGAATGCTGTCGTTTGGCCGATGGCTCGAACTTACAGCTCTCCGCCGCCATTTTGGAAAATCTGCGGGCTTGACCAGCTGGCGTTCCTCGATGAAAGTTCGCCTATCGTTCACCGGGCCACTTCGCAAAGACGTAATTCTCGAGACGAATAAAATCCTCGTAACAAGGATTTTTCTATGGTACAAAAGGAAAATAAAATGTGAAGTTACAGGTTACGAATTGTTATTACAAGTTACGAAATTCCGGCCCATCAGTTTTCTGTTTTCCAGCGGCTTTCATCGTTACAGATTTCGAACTTTCGTGCAATCAACGAATTAATTTACCTGGCTCGCTCTGCTCCTTGAGCGACGATCCATAATTTCTCGATGGCTCTTCGTCGAACGAAATTCCATTACCGGCAGAATTTATCTACCGCAAAGGATCCACGGTATCAGCTGGCAGGCCCGACCAACCACGTCCCGATGAGAACGTTCCAAAAACTGCGGCCACGTTCCGCGGAAGACTCCCCGTTCCGCTTTAACCCGCACGGAAAATCCGCAAATCCCCGCGGAGCAACCGGGGGAAGAGAGTCGCGCGCCGCGCTTGCTCGGAATATCCGCTCGAAAATAATACTAACAACGATAATACCGGTGGGACAGGAAGCCGGGAGAACATCGAAAATCAAGGAGAACGGGGAAGAATAGAAACGGGAAGGGAGGGGATGCAGTGCACGATCGTCGCAGGTGCGCGTGCTGCGAGTCAAAAGGGCAATAACACGCTCGGTTTTTTCATAATATTTTCATAGAAAAAGGTTGCATATTAAACCTTGGCAACTGTCGCCAGTTTCTCCCATTTTTCCCAATTTCTCCCATATTCCTCTGCTCCATCCTAACTCCACTACACACAAATACAATTTCCTCGGATGTGTTCGCGTAAACCACTAAAACGAAACATTGCGCCGCTGACTAGCATCGCATCGACTTAAATTATCGAATAGAAAACCGACACTTTAGACTCCAAGACAAAATTGACAATTCACGCTCATAACAAGAAACAACAATCATTCTACAAACGTATCCTCCTGTAAGTCAGATAATCGCATCTCGTGGTAAAAATCAAAGAAACACCCGTCGCGTCGAGTACAATTTTCTCAGCCACCGTGTACACGGACTCCTACCCCGTGATGCGATGGCTCGCGGTGGCTCCGTTCGACGCCCGCCCGTGCGCGCGCGCGCGCAAGCGTTGCGTGCGTGCGTGCAATGCCGCCCTCCCCTCACGCACCGTTCATTCATTCATTGTCAAACATGCGTCGGCCTCGTATATGCGTTCGCACGACCGAGCCATCGAGAACAGAGCCCGAGCTGGTGGGGCGGGGGAGGAGGAGCGATACGCCGGCAAGGTGGGAGTGGAGGAAGAGGAGCCACGAGGTGGAGGTGGCGGCCGAGCAAGAAGGGAGAGACAGCTTTTCAACGCGTCAGCCGGAAAGGAGAATGAGGTTGCGGCAGAGTTATTCT